AAAGATCAGCTATATCCTTCATATATATGTCTTCAGTCTTGTTAACTATTTGTTACATTTATTTTGAACCACATTTTTATTTTTATTTTGGTGGGGTGGATACCATAGACAGTCAACCCCTGAGACACATYCCCAGGCCTGTTTTCTATTTTATTTAGAGACAGAGTCTCACTGAGTTGCTTAGTGTCTCACTGTTGCTGAGACTGGCTTTGAACTTGCAATCCTCCTGCCTCAACCTCACGAGCAGCTGGGATTACAGGCATGCACCACTACACCATATTTTAAAATATCRGACATTAAAGCTTGAACAAGGCAGAATTGGAGCAAAAGACAGAATGAGAGAAGGGGAAGAAACGAGGAAGGTGGGCATGAGTTGGGGCACAGTAGGGAATGAAGCCCTTCCCGTCCTGCTCCTGATCTCACAACACTAACCCATTCCCTCCCACAAGCCGGCCACCACCACTCTCATCAACCCGGCTTCTCCAACAAAATGTAAGAGATTAATTTTTTTCATTTCTGTCCTCCTTCCTCAGTGACAGATAGATACTTCAGGAACAAATAGATAGATCTGCTTGAGAAAAAATCCATTTCCTACTCCAAAATGAATTTTAAATGGAAGAGGACTAAGGGCATCCACTGTTCATTTTATATTTGCTGTGTGCTTAAGTTTTTGCTGTGTCGACATGCCAGGACTTTTCCACGAAGGTGTTCCCTGCCTGCTTAGGGAAGGCGGAGGCAAGTGGTTCCTCTCTCTAGAAGGTACCCTGAAGCTGGCTCCTTCCCCAGGCAGGGTCTGGAGCCACTGCCACGGATGCTGGACCATGCCCATTGCCCAAGGGACAGCACAAGACAGTGGACACAGTCTCCCGAGATTGGAGCCCATAAAGGCAGGATGACATCAGCCTCTCAGCTCCATGTGACAGAGGCACAGACTTATCTCTCTCACTCAGATCTCCCTTTGCTGAGCTTTTTTTTTTTTTTTTTTTTGGACATTAAGGAGCAGTGAAATTTGCATTCATAAAATTGTATTTTCTTTCTGAAAAACAATAAAAATGTGATCTCTTTATAGCAACTGCTTAAATCTTTAACCTTGGCTTCTCACCCAAGATGACATAACACGTATGAATTGTTTAGGAACAAAAATCAAGAGTAATGATTTCTCATGGTGAAGTGATAGATCTTCTCTATCATATGCTCCTACTGGACTGGTAAGCTACACTGGCTTAGGAAATACTATCCCGGAAGAGTTCTATTTTCTTTTATATTTCACTTTCTTTATCCATTTCTGAATATACAGTTAACGGAAACAAGCCCAAAATATCAACTTATCTTGACGTTATCCAATGATGGAGGAGTCTGAGTACTGCAAAAATCATGTCAATGTCATTGTCTAGGATATTCCTTAAAAACAGCCTTATCTTAAAGAAAAGAAAAGGCACCTATAACTGTCTAAATGAAGATTCAAGATTGGGCTAAGAGACTAACTCTGTCCGAGCCACTTGCCACTCTACACTTAAATTCTGTCTTATTCTRTTTTCTGTTATTACAACAAAGAATTGATTCTGGGTACTTTATTWAAAAARGGGGTGGGGTTAGGTCAGMGTTTTGGAGACTGCAAGTCCAGGACTGGCCAGCCCCATCTGTTCAGCTCTGGTCAGGGCCTCCTGGCAGTGATACTACAAAGGCAGGAGTGTGTATGGGAGAGATCATGTGGCAAAACGAGAAGCCACAGAGATTTGTGGACCAGGATCAGTCTTTTAACAACAATCTGTCTCAAGGGAATAACCAGGTGCCCCCCACCCCATCAATCCCTTCCCACCAGACTCCATCTCTGAAAGGCCCCACAATCTCTCCTCCTCACCACACTGAGCACCAAGCACAGCAGCCCTGGTGGACAAGTCAATCCAGACCACAGCAAGGCCTTAGYGGAGGGAGATGGAAAGGAAGGAACTGGGGAGAGGAAGAAAGCAATTGGCCTTTTAAGGCAAGAGGGATGTTGGCCAAGCAGAGGCCACCTGGTAGGTGGCTTGGCTATATTTGGATCAAAACTTTCAGGTCCTTGGAAGGCAGAGATTCTATAAATAATAATAATCGTTGAAGGTTGACTTAAGAGTCTAATCTCTATGGACAATGCACCTCGGAATTCCTGGACTTCTCCCAGGGCTGTGCCAGACCATGCCAGCTGCTCTTTCTGGCCATGATGTTTTCCCGTGCACCCACTGGGGCAGTCCTCTCCATGCCTGGCCCAATGCCACCTGATCCTCGAGGTCATTTTTGCCCACACCTGGCTGAGTTCGTGACTCCCGTGGCAGTTTTCCTCCTGTGCTACCCTAACCGTGGCGTCAGCCTGAGAGTAGGACACCACCTTCGGGCTGACGGTATGGGCGGCCCCTTCTTCCACTAAGCACGAGTTTCTAAAGTGCAGGAGCTGCTGTGTTGACCCCTTGTCTCCTGCCTGGTTCCCAAGGCACACACTAAGTTTTCAGCAAATGCTTACAAGATAAAACTACTGTAAGCAAAAGCAGCCTAGGAAGATTTTTTTTTTAAATGTGAATAAAAGATCTAGGAGTTTCTAGAAAAAGCAAGAATGTAAATAAAATCATACTAAAACCTAAAATCTTCTATCATGATGTAGGCGTCTGCACCCATTTGGGTGTATTGTCAACATTATTTCTCAATACATAGGAAAACAAATTCCTTGAAACTTTACCTCCACTCACACTTTGATAACTTAATTTTGGCCTCCTCCAGGGSTGCTTTCTTCCTCTCCCAGTCAAACCTGATCATCGACATGAGATGATTCATAAACACATTCAAACAAGAGAGGAGCCCCAGGCATGGTGATGCACACCTGTGATCCCAGTGGCTCGGGAGGCTGAGGCAGGAGGATCCAGGTTCAAAGCCAGCCTCAGCAACTGAGAGAGCCCCTACGCAACTCATCAAGACTCTGTCCCTAATAAAATATCAAAATAGGTCTGTGGATGTCACTCAGTGGGTAAGCACCCTGGGTTCAATCCCCTGGACCCAAACACAACAACGACAAAAAAAACAAGACAAATAAGAGAGGTGAAATCATACTGCTTTTTGTAGGAGGATGGAAGTTTAATGAATTAAGGGAGAAGTTAAAGTTTCACTGATTTTGATGAGTTTTGGTTTGTCACTCACCTGATAAACCCAGAAACATGGGGCATCACAAGCCCTGGTTGCATCTTGGTGGCTAAGGAAACCTGCTCTGGCTACAACAAACTCTTTCCAAACCAAATGCTCTCTTCTCGTGCTTCCTGTGTGGCTACCACTTCTAGCCAGCAGCAAAAGCCGAAGCTCTGAGTGAGCAGAGAAGGATGGAGAGTCCCCTGGGCCTGACCATCCCTTGTTCTCACCTCACCTTCAGCCGAGGGCTTACCAAGGGGGCCCTTGTCATGCACCAGTCCAGCTTCTTCAGCTACTTTTTCATGACAGTGCTACAGGCGTATGCTCTTCATGGCAGCACCCCAAGCCTTCAGTCAGACATCAAGAAGATATATTCATGCTCCTGTAGTACTCAGATTTCAACAGGTAGAGCTAACTAGCTCTTTACTCTTCTGCCATTGAGTCTGAGACACACAGACRTCGTTAGGAACCATGACAGGCTTGGTAAGTCGGTGGCAGCAGGGAGGGAAAAACTAATCATAATAAGTGGAAATAACTGATCTAGAAAGATCAGCCATGAAAGGTGGGAATGCCTGCAGCTTGAGCTTTGGAAGAGTTACGTTTCTCCTGGTGAGGCAAGAGGTTTCTGCAGGGTAACAATTGAGGAAGTCATAAAATTAATGCCACAATGGAGCTATTTTGGAACACTGTAGATTTGGCTTACATTAGAGACTACCCATGTCAAAAATTCAAGAATTTGTGACCTGGAAGAAAAGCAAAATTGTCAGAGGGTCCCCAGTGCTGTGAATGTGTGGAGATACGCATGGAGCCTGTCTCTTTATCTCACATTCTGCATACACATTCACACAGAGGCCCCTCTCAAGTCTAGGCTGAGAGTGTTATTATGAATATTCATGACATGACGATTATTAATGTCACTGAGGTGATTTCATTCCTGCTTGGCAGAGACAAGTTTTTATGCCTAGAAACCGAATGAGTGTTAAGAGAAATGGCAGCTTTGCACCAGCCCAGCGAAAGCAACTCTGTACATTTTGGTCTTGAAATACAGATTATTTGACTAGGTGCTTTTAATCACCCCCTCCTGGCCCCCATCCCATGATCAACCTCATCCTGGGGAGATTTCCAGCTTTGACACAAAAGGCAGCATCCTTGGGAGCACAGGTTCCAGAGTTTATGACTGTATCTTGATTATTACTTCCTTTCCTAGGAGTTAAAATTAAACAAGGCATAAAGAGGCTCTAAGAAGTCTCAGTAGACTTCTGGGGGATGATTTTGTAAAAATGCTTTGGGAGAGAATTACCACATATTTACAACTTCTATTATTTAGAAAAGCATTTAACACAACAGGCGTTATGAAACAGCTCTTTCTAAGAACCACGGACGTGCACAGTCACACAGAGAACTGAAAAACAGAAACAAAACCAGCTACTGGTGATAGTTAAGTAGGTCCTTGCACATCTGTTGTCGACTCCCCAAGCAACTGGCCTGTCTGGTTATTCTATGTGCATGATATTACATCAAATGACCCAAAACTATTGTTTTCAATTAAAGTGACTTATATTTGGTTAATTAAAATATGTGTTTGGGGCCCTAGACTGAAAAAAAATTATGTTAAATAAGTCAGACACAGGTAGTGGTAGGTACAGGGCAGTGGAAGATGCCTACACCAGTTCAGTGCAGGATTAAAAACTTTCGGTTAGCTTCTTATACTGCACTGCCACATCAACACTCATCTTTGCAGAACAATCCGACCCTTAGGAAGGCAGCAGCGAAAGCTACAAGGAAGAGTGCCTGACCCAGGAGGACCCAGGGAAGATGGCAGGAGCAGGCCCTCGTGCMGCGGGACTGACCTTAGGCACCCAGTGGCATTGCGCAGCACCTGTGATGAATGCAGCTGAATTTTCCGATCATCCTGAAGAGGTGAGTTTTCCCAGCCTGAGTGGGGGATAATCACCGCATTGGTCAATACTGCCAGGGCGTCCTGGATGATTGGCATTTTGAGTGCATCACACGACGAGAGGTTCCACAGGACTCCTGCAAGAGACACACAAGGAGAGAGTTGGTGGTTAACAGTYRTTCTCATCTCACAGTGTTTTCCTCTCTGGAGTGAAAGGCACCGGCAGGAAGGAGTGAGGCAGCGTGTGGGGGTGTGTCTTAGAGCCTGATCCTAATTCTAGAGCACCCACTGGGACCTTCTAGAAGCGTGCTGTGAAAGACAGGTGAGCAGAACAGGGACATGACTGTCTCTGTCTCATCGTGAAGAACAACTAACTCCAGAGGGCTGGAGTGAACTTCCAATATGACGGACCCAAGCTTCCAACTTGAATCCAAGACCAAAGACGTGTGGAGGTTATTCAGAACAGTCTGGAGGTCTTTGTTTTACCCAGCACCTCAGCCTGCCTGTGTGGCTGACCTCAGTCCCTCAGCTTCTACACACCAGCAGCTGTCATTAGAGGGACACCTGAGACTCCAGCAGGAGACTGATGGCAATTAGCACGTGGAGCAGCTTGAACATGGTGTCACTGTGACAGCTTTGTCAGTTTTTCTCTGGAAGCAAGCTCATGAAGGACCTCTAGAATGTTCTTTCTTAAATGGTAATACAGGGAGCATGAAGGGCCTGTCTGCTGTGGGCAGAGAGGAGCAGTAATTAAGGTGGGCAGGGAAAAGAAAAATCGCAGACATGTGGAACGTTTTAGGTTTTTAGATCCATGTTTTCTAAAATGAGACTAATTCTGGAACTGGCCCATGGGCATTGCAGGTTATGACATCAGTTGAAAATGCTTTTAAAATAATGGTTCTATTTTTTGCTCAGAATAGTTCACATAAAGGAAAAAGAAAGAGTACACTATTCTGCTCCCCTACTGATGAAAGCCTTTTACTCCTACAGCCTAAACAGGCATCAGCACTGTAGAGATGGGGATCAAACACTGTGGTCGTCTTTAGAAAAATGACTTCCGGCTTTAACAAACTCTCAATCTATTTTAACCGGAAGAGATTTCGTTTTACCCACCATCTGATGAATAGAATATATAGAATGAACTTCGTTCTGAATTTCTTATTAGTTCCTTACACATGTGGAACCAACCAGTAATACAAATGTGACTGTTAATCATTAATTAAGCAACTATCACAGTGACTATAAAGTTCTATAAAGATATGACTGCAGAGACAAACCCCTTTAACTGTCTTTAGAAGAAACATTTACTGGGAACTTCATTTAAGTGAATACAACAGAGGTGAAATGGTTTTGGTGCCTGTGGTCTATGAATCAGTCCCATAAGGCCCGGGGTTACCTGGAGGGCAAATCTGGACTGCCTGTTTGGGTAAATAAAGTATTTTTGTAACACGGCTGTGTCTGTTAATTTGTGTATCTTCTGTTTGCTTTTGTCCTCAGAGGGAGAGTTCATTATTTGTGACAGAGACTGTGTGGTCCACAAAGCCCAGTAAATACACTACCTGGCCCCTCACAGAAAAGCTGTCCAACCCTCCTCAGCTCATCCACCACCCTCCGCGGGCTCTGTGAGCATGCTTGAACTGCCATCAGCGTCCTTCCTTGAGTGGACAAAGGTGCTCAAGGGTGTAGAGAAGGTGCCCAAAATACTTCATGATTTGGACTACTTTGAAATACCAGGAATATTAGTAGATGCATTTGTCATTTTGAAAATAGAGCATGAAGCTATTCATTTATCTACTAAATGTTTTACAAACTTTGATCATCAAAATAATAAAAATAATTCTACTCATTCATTTGCAGTCTTGAAAAATATTTTTAGGGTACAAATAATTGATTTTTTTCTGTTTTTTTAAAAGCACATTACAGAGTAGCTAAAAGCACATTAAAGAGAAGTAAATTAGTAGCTACTATTGTGTTTGAAAGTATCTTTTAAGAATGTCATGTTAAAGCATTTGTGCACGTTCCTTCAATGCAAGGACATGGAAACATAACTTGAAATATTCTCATTCTTAAATCCTGATTCAGAAATACTAAGACATGAAAATTGAGGTTTAGGAATAARTGCTTTAAAATATGGGTGATATGTTCTTTCATAAAATACAATTCCTCCAAAAACTAAATATAAAGGAAAAAAWTTGCATTTGAACATGAATGTGTTTAAACCAATACAAATCAATTCTTATTTTATTTATAGCTTTTAAAAATAAGTACATTATAAAGRCACATCAAAATGAGATTCASTGTGGTATATTCATWTATGCACATAGGCTAGTTTGGTCAATTTGATTCCTTTGTTCCTCCATCTTCTTGTCCCTTCTCCCCCCTCCTCAATCCCYTTCCCTACTCCACTGACCTCTCTCCTATTTTCATGAGATTACCTCCTTCCCCCACCTTATTTTGGTCTAGATTTCAGGAGCACTAAAATCAGCATGTCATAGTGATCCTGCCACACGAATGTTTGCAGCAGTGCAGTTCACAATAGGCAAGTTATGGAACCAGCCCAGATGCCCGTCAACAGATGAATGGATACAGAAGATGTGGTACATATAAATGAGGGAGTTACTCAGCCATTAAGAMGAATGAAACGGCATTTCCCAGTAAATGGATGGAACTAGAGAACATCCATCATGTTACATGAAACAAACTTTATGCAGAAAATCAAGGATTAAATATTTTCTTTCAAAGTAATTTTATGATAATTATTTTTAGTTTTCTAATGAATGGTAAGAAGGAGGGAAAATAAAAGAAAAATTAAAAACCCAATTTCATATATGACAAGAAGAGGATAAAAAAGACACAATTTGAGGTATCTTTATCTCCTTTAGGTTTCTCATTAATTGCAGTATAATTCAGACTTAGTTCACAATCATTCCAGGCTGGATTCATCTGTGAGTCATATTCCAATGAACTGAGTACTTGACCATATCTCTGAACCTTAATGCATGTCTGCAGTCAACCACAGGTGCCTGCTGAGCTTATTACAACAGCAGAGTCTCCATCAGGGAGAAATTTCTCCCCTTCATATGAAGAGTGGGCTAAGTAGATATAATACTGCCAAATTCCTTTTGGTGGAATTCAACAGGCACCATTTGAAATTTTGATATCTAGACACAGAAACAATCTTAAGAGTAGAAGCAGTAGTCTCTGTGGACAATTAAGATAAAGGTGGATATGTTACCGGGAGCATGAGGGAGCTCCACATCAATCCTGTAAATACACATACACACACACACACACACACACACACACACACACAAAGCTGGAGGGAGAGGGACTAATAGAAGACATTGGATATAATCAGTCATCCTCTCTGAACAAATAGAAAATGGTGTTTTGCTCAGATTTGTATTCACCCCTCCCGGATTTCTTCCATACTGGTTTAGGATGTGTCTACAAATTTCCTGACATTCCCTTCAAATGATGGAGCCCAATGCTTCTGAGAGGACTGAATTTAGTTACTCATTACTGACCAACAGAAAATAGTGGAAATACTTGGGATTATTTTAAAAGGTACTGTGGATTCCTCCAAGTTCTCTCTCAGAAATTGCCTGTTTTTAGGAGAAGCCAGGTGCATGCACAGGAACCTCAGCAGCCCTATGGAGAGGCCACTGTGGGGAAGCCGACAGCCACATAAGTGCATGATTTTGAAGAGGGCCCTCCAGCCCCTCCTGAACCTTCAGACAAATGACTTCAACCTCATGGGACCCTGAGCCAGAACTAGCCAAACTGGCTGCCCCTGGACTCCTGTTCTGTTCACCTCCCTCTCTTCCTTTTCCATTCCCTCTGTCCGGTGGGTTCATCCCCCCGCCTTTTAGCTTTGAGCATCTTTTTCAAGTTTCAACTCCTCTCTCCTATTCCTAAGTTCCATTGTGAGAACATAAAAGATACAGGAAGAAGATCCTGCTGAAGTTTGTAAGTAAATTTTAAATTCATTTTATTTTATTTTTTTAAAGAGAGAGAGAGAGAGAGAGAGAGAGAGAGAGAGAGAGAGAATTTTTAATATTTATTTTTTAGTTTTTCGGCAGACACAACATCTTTGTTTGTATGTGGTGCTGAGGATCGAACCTGGGCCGCACACATGACAGGCGAGCGYGCTACTGCTTGAGCCACATCCCCAGCCTCTTAAATTCACTTTAATTTAAATGATAAATATTTAGCTTTTTAAACCCGTACCATTCATCATGTGCAGGACTTATTAAAAGGCTAAGCAGTTTGTTTGTTTTTTTTAGTTTGGAATGTCTGCCTTAGTTTCCTATTAGTGCTTTGACAAATTAACACATGGTGGCTGAAAGGACACAGCTATTTATTTCCAGCCTGGAGTCTTGCATGGGCTGGCAGGGTGCACCTCTGGAGAGGCCCGCCTAACCATGCTGCTGGAGGCTGCCTGCTGCCTTGGCTCGAGGTCTGGCATCCGTCTGACATGGCTTCCATCATCACATCTCCTTCTCTGACTCGGAACTCCTGCCGCCCTCTCATGAGCCCTCTTGTGCTGCTAGTGAGCCTACCTGGATAACCCAGGATAGTCTCAAGACCCCAAATTGAATAAAATTCTGCAAAGAGCCCTAATTCAATCACAGCATGTAAAGCAGCATCTGCAGGGTCTGGAAATTAGTATGTGGACATCTTTGGAGAGCCAACAGTCAGGCTAACAGAAGTCTCCCTAAAACTGTTGGTATATTTAGAATGAAATTAAACTTCTGTTTTTTTTTTTTGTTTTTAAAGAGAGAGTGAGAGAGGAGAGAGAGAGAGAGAGAGAATTTTTTTTAATATTTATTTTGTAGTTCTCGGCGGACACAACATCTTTGTTGGTATGTGGTGCTGAGGATGGAACCCGGGCCGCTCGCATGCCAGGCGAGCGCGCTGCCGCTTGAGCCACATCCCCAGCCCGAAATTAAACTTCTTGTGGTAGCTTTTCCCTACGCCTCTAAGTTCATGGTGAACCAGATTCTTTGTTCATTTATTTACCTCTCCATACATATCCAGCACCTGCCATGTGCCAGGTTCTATTAGACACAGAGTGGAGCATCAGTGAACAAAATTCAACTCCCTGGCCTGGGAGCGGGTGTGGCAGCAGCTCTGG